ATTAGACTTATGTAAAGGATGCCAAATTACCCTCGTAATATATCTGTCGACTGAAAATTGTGGTGTTATGTTTTATATTCCGTATAATTATAATCTGTACATATAATAAAATTCTAACTAAGCCGAATCTGTACATAAAATATTTTTCGGAAAATCTTATTGAAATAGACTTTATTACCGATACACAGGCCGAATCTATAGTTTTTAGAATTTTTGTCTGTCTGTCTGTAAGTTACCGCGTCACCAGAAAACGACTGGATAGATTTTGATGAAATTCAGTATAGTGATAGCTGGTTACCCGGGTCAACATAAAGGATACTTTTTACCGCGGGAAAATGTCTCATTTCTGAGAAAAAATACAAAAGTCATCTAAACGCGGGCGGAGCCGCGGGCAATGCTAGTCTTTATATAAATAGGCCAAGACAAAACAGTTCAAAACCTTTTCCTTCATGTATTTGCTAACCGATTTCCTTTTTTTTGCTTAATAGCTATTGAGGAGCTTTAGTAATGAGTAAGTTTTAGAAACAGCTAAGTTTTTTTTATATAGACAGGGAAATTCTATTCCTGTTGTCCTCAAATTTTCAATAATAATTACGGCCGAATTCGATCACTCGGCGAATTTTAAATTTGAGTTAATTTTACCCAATTAACTGAAGAAATCATTATCATCGTCTTAAGTATAACTAAAAACCATGATTTTGGACATTGGGTATCAAACTGTATGTTACACCGTAAGATTGATCTATATTGATTACATGGAATTTATTTGTTAATTCCTATTTAGAGAGATATTAATGTAATATAATGTGAGACTTACTATATAGTCCATACTAACGATTCACCCTCGCTCCGCTTGGGTTCGTCCTAGATACGTTTTAACGTTTAGTATAAGATTTCTCAGAGATGAAATATTTTCCCGCAGGAAAAATTATTCGATGTTAGTTGACTCGGATAACTAGCTATCATCATACCAAATTTCTATAAAATCTATAAAAACTATAGATTCGGCCTCTGTATCGATAATAATGACTATTTCAATAAGATTTTCCAAAAAACATTTAATGCACAGATTCGACTGAGAATTTTATTATATGTATAGATTTTGAATAATAAAAATATGAAAATATTAATTTAATAATTTTTAGTTCTAAACAAAGATTTTAATGACTATAAATATTTTTAATTTGTGCTTATTATTGCGTTTCTCAAACCAATACTCTTTTCTTAAGTAAAACACAAAAGAAAAAGTAGTTTCATAAGAATTCCACTAAGTTACTTTCTAACTTTTTATAAACCTCATTTAATTAAGGCAAGACCATAAATTAAAAAAAATATAAAAATTTATTCTAGCTTTAGCAGACCGATTAACATTAAAGTTAAGAATAGTATTAGCACAGTCTTAAAATAAAATTTCGCTCCATGAACTCTGGAAAGAAGTAAGCCAGATGGTTTTAGAAAACACAAAGAAATAGCAATTTTACAGTACAACAGCAGTTTAGACTTTATCCCACCATTTTTGTACGTTGCAAGAATTTTAACAGCTCATTAGATGCACTTGTGTTTGTTTAACAATATGGCGTCCTATGGCTGTATGGCTCGTGCTTTTTATTTTTAATCCCATATGGTCTTTTTCTGGTATATACAACGTCGGTGATACGATATTCAATTAATTTAATACCTTATCATCACAAAAAGCTTGTTCAAACAAAGTTACGAAAACAAAAAAAAGTTAAAGTTGTACAATGTAAGCTTAATAAATGAACTTTTACTTCATTTTTAGTTACAACTAGAATCTTAATACTTGTTTTGCTTAGAAAAGATCCTAATTATATGTAACTAGCATTGCCCGCGGTGCCGCCCACGTTCAGATTACCAAAAACCAAATTCTTAGGTTTTACATATTAGTATACTCTTACATTGCAGTTTTTGTATGTTTTCTTAGAAATAAGATGTTTTCTCGCGGTAAAAAGTACCCTATATGTTGACCCGGATAACCAGCCATCACCATACCCATGAAAATCCATCCAGTGATTTTTCCGTGATACGGTAACAGACAGACAAAATTCTAAAAACTATAGATTAAGCCTCTGTGTCGATAATAATGTCTATTTCAATAAGATTTTCCAAAAAAAATTATATGTACAGATTCGGCTTAGTTACAATTTTATTATACTCGGTATGTATAGATAATGGATTTGGAATGAGTCGTGATGAATGATCTAATATCGTGTGATATATTGTGATATGTGTTTGGTGATATTGCGCACGATGCATATTATGCACACAAGATGTGCAAGATATTATATGGCTAATTAATAAGATTTATTCAGCCCTTTACGACGTCGAATTGCTGGGCACAGCCTTGCCTCGTATTGAACATATTGAAATCGGGCCATAGTCCGCCATGCTGGCTGTGCGCGAGTTGTCGGACTTCACATGTCTTTTGAATTTCTTGCTAATTTTTCTCAGATATACAGCTGTTATCACGATGTTTTTCTTTATAAAATAATTCGCACGCGAAAAATATTAGAGATGTGAGACCAGAGATTTGAACCCATTTTACTTGGCTTTCTAAGCTTCACTGGACTTCTTTACGTATATAAATAATACTAATATAATAAATTAATTTAGAAAAGAAAGAGATTATTTACAATAGAAACAAATTTTCGCTTAATTTAAGTGTTAATTGATCTTTTTAAGACAAACAATTCTGTAATACATTGTTCCCATATACTTAACTTTGTTAGTTCATGCGTCGTACGTCAATAAAACTCCCAGTCGGCATAATTTTTACCGACATCTTCAAAAATCATTTTCATATTTCAGCCAATTTACACCAAACTATAATGAATTATACACTTAAATCTTCTTACTAAATCATTTGATCTATTGATGAAAAGCGCATGAAAATCCGTTTGATAGATTTTGAGTTTATCGCCTTTAGACAGGCAGATAGACACGGCGGGGGACTTTATTTTATAATATGTAGTGAAGTTTTATACACATTTATTATTTATATATATATATATATATATATATATTTTATCTAAATATGTTAACCATTTACTTAAAATCAAGCATTTTATTGTGCAAAAAATGCATTATGGTATTGCCAATACAGAATTCGTATCTTATATTTTTATCTATCTAGTTTGAATGTAAGCGATGAAAGCAACCCGACGCACATGAAATGCGCATCTTATCATACTAAATCGAATTTTCTCCATGACGTCCGTCTATTCGTAAGGGGAAATGTAGCGTGGCGTATAAACACGTCTGTACTAAACACTCGCTTGTATTTCTTTCGGGTGTTTTAATAAAATATGTACAAATAATGACATTTTTGATACTGTGTTTTTTATTCTCTCGTAACTTATTATATTTAAAAAAAATACCCAATATCTTTATATATATATTTTTTCGAACCAAACAAGTTGCCGATATGATGCTATATTGTTTAAAAAATTTCCTTCAGGATTTATAAATTTAGTTACGTAATTATTTTAATTTAATTCTTTCAATTAAAATATTCCAAATTCCTAACTAATCATAAATTGTATCATCAAAATCGTTTCAGCCACGTACCTAACATGAACACCAAATGTACACATAAATAAACTAACATCTAAGACTATTAAATAATATACATTTCAAAATATTACAAACTAGCAACTCACCCTAGCTGTGATCGGATTCGTCCCTAGGTTGATTCGGCGTACAAACTTTCATCCCCATTTTCACTCCCTTAAGAGATGATTTCCGGCATAAAAATATTCTATATCCTTTCCAGGATCTCAAACTATCTACTTATCAAATTTCATCTAAATCGGTCCAGTAGTTTTTGAGTTTATTCGTTACAAACATACAAAAATACAAATCTTTAGTCCATATAATAGATAACAAATAAATATTGTAACACAACGTGCTAAAAGGCGTATAATAAGTTAGCTAGCTTCACTAAGTACAAATACTCATCATTATGATAATATACTGCGGGCAGTTAGAAGTCACATTCACCAAATTCCCTCATTACATCTGATGTACTCGACTAACTTATTCCGATCCTTCCCTTTTCTCCCTTTGGCAGACCGTAAATGTTACTAGCGCTTCAGAGTAAATGGATATTGTTATAAAATATTATAAGGTTTTACAGACTTTTATCTGAATAAAATTACTTAATCACAACACGTTATATGAACTCGAATGTTTTATATTCTTTTAAATGAAAAAAATTTATTTTATTTCAATCATTATTGACAATTTGAGGGTAACACATATAAATAAATAAATAAATACTCGTATGTTGGGACATTAACACACAGTTCCATCTAGTAAGCTAGGAGGCCTGTGTTATGGATACCGGATAGTTGATACACTACATATATATAACTTCAAATACATACATATAATAAATATAAACACTCATGACTGGAGTACAAACATTCGTGCTCATTACACAAATTCATGCCCCCAGCGAGACGCAAACCCGCGACCGCTGGCACAGCAAGTAGGGTCGACAAACTGAGCCAAACGTCATCCTTATATGAATATAATTTACCTATCTACATAAAAAAAACTAACTACTTGAAAATTGTTTTATTGATAATACTAAACTCCTCAAGAGCTACTAAGCAAAAAAAAACAGAGGAGAAAAAGGTGCTAAACTGTTTTGTTTTTACCCATTTATAAATTTTTACTTACCGACAGCTTCAAATGCTTACAGCAATCTTGTCCACATGTGATTTATATCTATTATATTACACACTGCTGTATTAAATTATCTCCCAGAAGGTGGCAATATTCAGTGAGATTGGCCGACGTAAAATTATCTCTGCAGGACAATTTTTACAATAAGATATATATATATATATATATATATATATAGCATTATAACATTGAATTTAGTTAATTTAATGAAAATACAACCCATTTTGTCATTCCAATTCAATAATTTTAAGAAATGATAAAGGTTTTAATACATTTGTAATATATTCTTGCAGTGCCGGAGACGAACTTCCGTCTCATCCAGAACAAGACTGATGACGACACTGTGAACGTCATCTGCGCTGCGGACGGGGCTTTCCCTGCTCCGAATCTAACTTTAGCTACGCCGGAAAGGTAAGAATGAGCCGAATCACAAATAAATTAGCTTAAAAAACAAATTAAATGTTTCATTATAAAGTTGTTACAGACAGTGCTTACACACAAATTTATATAATTTCGTTTACCTACGTCTAAAACCTTTATCTCTCGTGATCATGAGTGCTAAAGTAAAGCATTCGAAACGTCGGGAAACAAAAATCAAAATAAATCCGCGAAAATAAACGGACAAGATAGTTTAATTTAAAATCTATACTAATATTATAAAGAGGTAAAGTTTGTGAGATTGTAGTGGGTAATCTCTGGATCTACTGAACCGATTTAGATGAAATTTGGTAAGAACATAGTTTAAGACCCTGGGAATGATATGGGATACTTTTTATCCCAGAAATCATTCTTTAAGAGGGTGAAAATAGGAATGAAAATTTTATATGGGGAAGCAACCTATTGACAAACCCGAGCGAAGAGAAGGTGAGTCGCTAGTGTCAAATATACGTGTAAATCTAAGAAAGCTTAGCTTAAGTTAGTTCAATATAATATGTTTATTATAAAGAAAATAATTATAGTAATATATTAATCATTACAATAATCATAGAATTATAGGATCATAATCTTAATATAAATTGGTTGATTAACTTAGATTACTTTTATTTAAAAAGGCAATTTATTCAGTAATTTTTATACAAAAATCCATTATGTTTTAAGCATGAGTTCATAAAAGAATGATATGTGTATTGATATTAATTAGTGATGTTATTTTTATTAATAACAATAAGAGGGGAAATATGATATAGAATAGCAAATCACAACGGAAATGAAATGCAAGAAGTACCTACTTAATATTTATAATGGTTATTTCAATCATATAGTATTATAAAAAACTACATTTAGAAGAATATAAAACCTTTTTCTTTTTATATATATATATATATATATATATATATATATATATATATATATATTATTTATATATAGAAACTTATTATTGATCAACAATTTTAACACTAAATTAAAAAAAAGCTACTATATCTATTAACCAAAAGCAAACTCAAAAAATATAATATCTTTGTTTTCTATACATTTATGAAATGAGGTTAAATTTTTCCTTATGAAATGTGGTAAATGAGCTTGAATTTTAAAGGACTTAGTATGTCCACTCGGAGTTAAAATTCGAGTAGATAAAGCCGCAAAACTTTCATTATGAAACCTAGAAGCAAGTGATTTACATAAACTTTTTACATTTGACAAACTACTTTAGGAGAGTTTGGTGTCAAATTTATTTGTTAAAACTATTTAAATATATATAAAAAGCAAGCTAAAAAAATGGGAAAAAGTTGACGAAGGAATCTAATATTATCGGATACATATACAATATACATACACACGCATCTATTAGAAAATATGTACATTTACGATATAATATAAACAAATTATTTTTAACATAAATATTCTCGTTGAAAATATTCCAGAATATCTTGAAATACTTTGCTTTAAGCATAGAATATCTCTTGTGTATAAGAAAAGGTATAAATCTTCTTACATCTCGCCAGATGGCCGGCTGATATACTTGTTACATTACGAGTACTCGTACTTTGCAAATGGATATTACACACATGTTTCCTGTATTTATTCTGAAATATTGACTTTAAATATTATTATGAAAATCTCTTAAAAATGTGTAGTAATATTTTGTAGTAAAGTATAAAATGTAGATAAAACGCGTTTTATTATTTTACGGAATATATTTTGTATTTTTCATAGTTTTCTTTATATCTATACATATAATAAAATTCTAACTGACTCGAATCTGTACATTGAATATTTTTTTAGAAAATCTTATTGAAATAGTCATTATTATCGATACAGAGGCCGAATCTATAGTTTTTAGAATTTTTGTCTGTCTGTCTAGGAACGCATCATAAGAAAACCACTGGATAGAGTTTCATGAAAATTTGTATGATAATAGCTAGTTATCCGAGTCAATATATAGGATACTATTTACTGCGGGAAAATATCTAATTTCTGATAAATCTATACTAAACATTAAAACGTAACTGGGGACGAACTCAAGTGGAACGCGGGTGAGTCGCTAGTTCTTATATAAAAAGATTCATACGGATCTTAACGCCTCCATTTTCACCTTTAGAATATAAATTCCTAGTAAGTCCCTGTCTTCTTTGATAACGATATACAAAATATAATAAATCTGTCCAAATCATGATTCTAGATATTTTGATTTCAATCAAATCCCTATTAACGTCTATTTATTATATGATATTTTCGATTTCTGTTGTAGCAATTCCATAACATATTACAACGTGAATTCTCTACAATGTGTTTATTTCTGAATTTTCAGAACATAAATACAAAATCACAGGCTTAATCCTATTACATTTTATAACCAGCTTGTCACCAGTTTTGGACATTCAATTCGTTTTGCTTTAAAATAGTGCTCATTATTTCTGTATTTTGTTTTCAATTGGCAATTTATGACTAAAATATTGTCTGTTAATATCGTTCAATTTAAATTTCCATATTATTATATGAACCAGTTGTTTATATTGATAGAAACTTTACCGCAAATAAATAAAATTTACGAACCCCATTTTAAATTTAAACACGTTGAAGCGAGCTATATGCTATATACAGTATACACGTTGTCACTAATTTGTACAGAATGAACGGTTCTAGTAATTATACCGTGCTAATTAAATAGATTTCCCTGAAGCCAAAAATTGTTACCTGCTTATTTATTCAGACTTGAAATAAATATATTATTTATAATAAAATAATAAACTATGTATAGATTATTATTGTTACAAAATTGTAACTAAGCCGAATCTGGATATTAAATATTTTTTTTGGAAATTTTTTTTTGAAATAGACATTACTATCGAAACAGAGACCGAATCTATAGTTTTTAAATTTTTGTCTGTCCTTTCGTGTGTAACAGACAGCTAATACCCGAAACGGCTGGACTGATTTTGACGGCATTTTCACTGGCAGATAGCTGTTATAAGGAGTAACTTAGGCTACATTTCTTTTAGAAAAAGAACTAGGACGCCGCTCAAAAAATTAAAACGTACCTAGGGACGCACCCAAGCGAAGCGAGGTTAAGTCGGTAGTATATTTTCATAAAAACATAACATACTCAAAGTAAATATTTTAAGAAAAAAATGTATTTTAAAGAAATTGGCGATGTTATAATATCTAAATCTTCATTTTTTTTTGTACTGCCTTTATCTGTCAGTTTGTTTTATACGAACAATTGCATAAAATACCTGTTATAATTCAAACACTCGAATACATAATATGTATTAACACTCGAATAATATAGTTTGTTTATCCAGTTCTACACACCCATATAATGTTCTGATTATATTAATTAGTGGTTTTCAACAAATTAATATAATTAATAAACTCAACAGAAACCACAGCCAGTAACCATATTCGAATAGCTTACTAGCATTGCATGCGGCTTCGCCCGCGTTTAGATGACCAAAAACCAAATTCTTAGGTTTTACATATTAGTATACTTATTTTCCAAAGCAAGCAATAAAAAGTACCCTATATGTTGACCCGGATAACCAGCTATCACCATACCAAATTCCATCAAAATCCCTCAAGTGGTTGTTTGTGATGCGTTAACAGACAGACAGACAAAAATTCTAAAAACTATATAGGTATTCGGCCTGTGTATCAATAATATACTTTGTTTCAATAAGATTTTCCAAAAAATATTTAATGTACAGATTCGGCTTAGTTACAATTTTATTATACGAGTATGTATAGATACCGTCTCTATCCCAACTTAATGACGTGAAATATCTAGTAATTAATATGAGCTCAAACTGCAGAATCGTAGCAACGTAACCACAAGTACTGAAGTTTCTCGTTCATGTGACATCCCTTTAATTTCAGAATTAAGCATTTGACAAGGTACGCCAAAATTATGTAGATCTACAAACCCGTATATTATATTTTAATATTATAAATGTGAACGCTTGTGAGTATGGATGTTTGTTACTCTTTCACGCCATAATGGCTGAACGAATCTGGATGAAACTTGGCACTGAGATAGATTATAGTCTGAAATAACACATAGGCTACTTTTTATCTCAAAAAAATGTACGGTTCCCGTGAGAGAGATTTGTTCTTGTTTTTCTAGAGGTGAACCCGAGCGAAGGGAGGTGAGCCGCTAGTCCTTAATAAATTGAGTTTTCAATTATGTAATATTGATGATATAATATTTCGTACTTTTAACTTTATCCTATATTGGACTATGAGTTACTGAAAATAACTGATACAAATCTATGGTGTAGAGTAGATACTAAATAAAAAATATATTTAGAATTAATAGTAAAAGAATATACGAAAATAGTTATATGACGGAATTGTATTATTAAGTTAATAAGTCCATAATCTATAAATAATAGCGGACAATATTTTAAGATATGAATATCTAATAGGTAATAATATGTATTTTACGTATCAAAATATAAAGTCTCTAGCAGAAAAACAATAAGGCTTTTGTACTCTCCTTTTACCCCTTATATTTTTATTATCGCAATAAGAAGCCTATGTTCTTCTCCAAGGTCCCATTTATCTCTATACCAAAAATCATCAAAATTGATTCAGCGGTTTAGGTGTGACATAACAGACGTACAAAGTTATTTTTACATTTATAATAGTATGGATTAATATTTGTTCTAACAAGAATTAATCAACTTCATACCAAAATAAGGAACGCTTTTCTTGCATTATATTTAGTTGAATTTTGTCAGTAACATAACGTCGTAAAATGTGCCTGTGCAAGTCCTCTACAGACAACTGCATTGCAGAAGTGAATCACTTACAAAAGTGTTCAGCGGTTTCTTTCATAACCAATTGTAAAGGAACAAAAGCTGCCTTTAAGAATTACAAATGATGTAATTTGACAGTCCACTTAGCTGGCTCGTGTTTATTTGAACGGAAAACGAGCACCTGTGTCTTGGTTGAGTAAAATTTGTAATTCTAGT